GGCGCTCCATAACGCCGAGTGTCGAACAAGCTGACGAGCACACAGGTGTAGAACTTCTACTCATCCGCATTTAAGCGAGCACGATTCGAACCACTTACTACGACGTTTCCGTACCATGCCATCCCCACAAAATGCGTACAACGGCCCAGTGGTCATACAAGATCACGTGTAGTAATAGCATATGAAGTACGCTCTGTAGATATAGTTGGTGGAATTGCTCAAATCGTCCAATTCTACATCACCTACATCAATAGTTAACACAAGCGTGGATTGTATCGTAATGTTACTTCGTGACAGAGTTGTAAACAGTGGTGAAGTCGTATGGTCTTGAGTACAATTGTTTGTCAAATAAAACCCTTGTCAATTATCAGCTGCAATGGATATTACCAATCTGGAATTAGCTCTATGCTAGATGATACGGTAAATGCGAACGGAACAAATAAGTGATATGTGTAAACAGGGGTAGATAGTATAAGCTACTTTACATGTCTTCTCAACTGTAACAAAGAAGATATGATCCCTCAAAAATACTTTGTTTTTATCTTCTAGTCCCTTAATTGCGGTATAGTGCGTTCTTCTCGAAACTTACACGCGAGGATTTCTGAAATTCTGACGAACCCCTCTCGGTCACACAACCGAATCCCAGTAGAGAACTTCAAAGAAAACCATCCAGAGAAGTACGTTGACGCCTTCACCAACGTTGGCAACCCAAAGATTAAAATCGTGCACCACCCGAAATCAAAACGTAATCTTGATGTGAAGCCGTTACCAACGTCGGAACTCCTCAGATATTCGAGCTACCTCAGAAACCGAGTGACGGCGGTCGCTGACAAAGGTCTTGATCAGGTGATATCAACTTTGAATTAATGATCACTCAAAGTATTTTCGCAGCTACGCCATCCTCCAACGCGTTGTCTACTTTGATCGAGTCCTCGTCCAAGACGTTCTCGCGTAAGAGTACCGACTTAACCTCCAGGTCTCCCGGACGTCTTCTGCAAAATTGCAAATGCCAGTCTTCACCGTCGTTGCCGGACCACATACTACTATTTGCAAATAACATCTTCTGTAATGGGCCCCTCCAATTTCATAAGTAGGTTTTATTTTGATACAAAAGTAGATAGGTTTGCGTGCAGTGCGCACGCGCATAAGTGTCCTTCTCTGATTGGCTGAAAGTGGGGAGCTAGACCCATTTCTAGCCAATCAGGAGCGGACTTGCATTTGTGTGGTTCTAAGGGCTTGGGGCCCCAGGCCCAATACATAAACAGAGTTGAATCTTTCCAAGACTGTCTTCTTGATCTTCCTGCATTGGGTCCCATCGAGAGCTTCCTCAACGCTATGTACGCTAATAACGGCACGCACCTGACCCGCTATACCTTCGCCAGTCGATAGAGGCGTACATGGAAACTGTGCATTTAGGTCGGACATCTTTCCCTCTCCGCCAGCGGCGTGTGATAGTAATCGCCATGACAAAGCGCGTCGTGTTGCTTGTACACACACACCGTCGGAAGTCCAGGGTTTGTAGCAGACTTTATATGATAATCGTCTTTAATGGGGTGTGTATGTGTATAAGCAAAGCTCTCTTCACAATTCTATATTGTTGGTCCGGAAGGGGTATGCGCATAATTGTATTCAACTACAGGCGGAGATGTCCTGAAGTAGCTTAGAAAACGATAATTACAACGCAGAACACACAGAATACACGGAAGAGCAAAAATGTGTGTCAACAAGCATTTATCATCACCAGAAAATGAACCAAATTTCGTGTTCTGAAAAGTACTCACAATGACCTGGTAAATCGGAATATAGCCATCGATATCGAACGGACCAATTTAATTGCTATGGGTAGTTTTCTTCGACTAATATATGTATTTGGTTTAAGTGACGCAATTGTCAACCTTTCACCAGACTGATACAATTTGTTTCTGTATAGTTGGAAATTTTGAATAGAGGGGTAAATGTTGCTCGAAGATCGTAACAGCCACTATCTGTGTACTACACACAACCTACCCATACAGGTAACATTCGTCAAAATTATCGTCTTGAACAGGTACAACGTTCAGAATTTTACTGTTGATAATATTATCTTGTTGTTTGTAATTTTCCCGTTGTTACGGATTCCAGTAGCAGCAAGACTAGCGAGGTGTGCTAAAGCAATACTCAAACCGTTGACCGACAAATGAAGTGCAAGCCAGTGATAAAAGATATGGAATTCTATGACAAAAGATTCCAGTCAATAGACTAACCAGCATATCATATATATTGATAACGCTAGTGGCATCGTGACCACAAAAATACTCGGTGTGTGTAGCAGCTTTTTTCTGCCAACGTGAGTGTCTTATTGCAGAGATAATAGCATTAAAGCGTCCAATCGAGACCTTGATAACAAGAACGCGGATGAAGTGGCTGCCTTCGTACCCCTCATTTTAGACATGGGTGCTCAAACCATATACAACGCTGCTCGAGTGTACTGTTCGTTTACAATGCCTATGTGTCCTATATCGATTTTACAGCAGAAGTTAGATGAACGACATATTGTGGGCTCTAGAATTTTGCTATACCGATTAAACACTCAATTATCTGACGTCGACACGACCAGCAAGCTGGTCTCCACAGGCATTGTGCTCGTTGAGCTATGTGGTGTAATCTTTCTCGTGGTGTGAGGCTACAGCTTTTAATTAATTTATGCAAAATGTTTGTTGGGGATCCTGTGGCTTCGCACCCTGCTCATCGTAAAATTGTTTTTATTTTAAAAAATAATAATAAGGAGACCGCAGAGGGCCCATACAAGCTATATAGTAGCCAAACTTGTCCAGATTGATAGCTCTGTTGACTGTCTCAAACACATACTACTGCACCATTAATTTTGAGCCGTGTGTCCTATTCGGCAGTTTTCAAAACGAGGCTTGACCTTAATTTGAACAGAACACTACTTCTATTTAGAGCCCCATTCCCGCACAAATGACGTAACCACTTACATAAAACCGACTCAGACCGACCTGTACGGAATTTATTCTGTGGAATTGGTGGTTTTGAGGAATGCATTCCTGACCTTACGAATTAGTACAATTCGTACTAACAGAACAAGATCGACAAGAACCATGGCCACCAAGAGACGCAACTTTTTTGCTGAGGAAGACCTCGCTCTCCTTCAGCAAGTCCGGAGCGAGCGTCCATTCCTAGCAGAACAAGGGAAGACAATGGCAGCGTGGGGCGACCTTGCCGCTCAGCGGGTGAGCGACGCTAACTTTCCTCGGAACAAGCTGACGGCAAGAATGACCAAGCTCGAATTGAGAAGCTGATACTACGAAAACGGCAGCAAAACGCCGTCTCCTCAGCAGCTTCGGGGGTGAATGAAGAATAGACAGAGAAAGACACTCTTCTCGATGAGCTATTAGCTTTCGTTGTTGATCACGCGGACGCTGTGACAGCTGATAAAGAGTCACCTTAGCGGAAACGTGACGCTGACAATGTAGCATCGCCTTCAGCGCGGCGCCAAGCAATGGAGAAGTTACGGGACAGGGGTGGGACTTTAAAGAAGAAGAAAAAGGAAGACGAGCAGATACCAGGGCTGCAGAGCTATTCGAAGCAGCGATCAGCACGAAGGTTTCCATTAGGGAGATCGATTGAAAGTAGCTTGTCTACCACTCAGTAGTATCTAATTAGAGAGGGAGTTCTGCTGGAGAATCTTTGCAGCGAAGTACTGTTATACTGACTTCGTTCCTGTTCCCTCACCATCTCACTCGAAATCGTAAGGAAATGGGAATGTCAACTGCGAAATATCTCACATGTTGCGTCTAGTCTAAACGTAACATGTATTCAATGTGTAGTCAAAGGGTATCCTTCGTTGCGCGCTCTTCTGAGAAGCTGTTTAGCGAGATTGGTCGAGGGCTCGAATCCGCTCTTGATTCCTTAGACGTTTCAATCTTTCTTTTTCACGCCGCTCGCGTGGTGGTGTGGTGGTCGAGCTAGAGCACACTATCATTATAAGTGAGCTACTTTACTCAAAAGAATTCGTTATGTGAACAGCGCTTTATACAGCAAAGCAACGATAGTTGAGGCTGTGGTAGCATTACATCACAGTTTCAAAATGTTAAGTAGCCAAAATTAGTTATAATCCTTCCCACAAAAAATGTTAGCGAACTAAGAGGACAATCGGAATTGCTATCGTAGGACAGATCGATGGAGCTCTCGCCCGCATTCCTGTGGTGGAGTGGGGTTCGCAAAATCACGTTGCGATCCACTCAGACACACAGTGCCCTGGACTGCCGACTAACGGATGACCGTGGGGTTGCTGGGGGCTCACCTCGTGTACCCGTCGGCGGGGCTCCCTCCCTCCCTCCCTGCTAAGGAACACACACACCCCAAGTCGATCAAGATCGACAACCTACCTGTCGAGTAGCCTGAAGAGTATCCACGCTACGCCGCCCCACCATCCTGCGTTCCGCCAAGACGGAACCAGCCCAGGTCAAGCTTCCCATCAAGTCCACCAGAGGAGTGTAACCGGTTCCTTGTTCCTTTACTTGCGAGGCTTGACCGCTTCCTATAGCGGGGAAGTTGAGGATGAGAGTGAAGACGATCGACCGGCAAAACTGCAAACTCCGGCGACTGACACGTGTATCTCGTAGAAATAACTTGATTACCGTATGGACCACTATACTTCCCGCTACAGCTTCCAATATTGTACCGAAGACACTTGATCTTGATAAGACAAAATTCACTCTATGTAAATCGTGATCCGCCCGGCGAGGAACCCAAGGTGAAAACCGAGGGAACCCCACCAACCACCACTCCGCTACCGCAAAAGTCCTTGATGAAGAAGAAGCTGAAAGCGTCGCGGAAGAAGCTTAAGGTCCCAGCAGACTCGGACTCCGACAACCGCGACGAGATCGCAGCGACTTGGCCTGACGATCAGCTGGAGGAGGCCTTTAACCGGAATGAGCTCCAAGTATT